GAAGGGGAGGTTGTGTGAAACGATTATGTGCTTTTCCGTTCAAATGTACACTTGATAATTAAATATTCACTGTAAACAACTTGAAAAGTAGGTTTGTTTTCAAAAAGGTCGATTGAAAATGTTGGAAAAAAACCACATGAAAAAATTGTAACATACAGTTCGATAAACCTTCATCTCCTCTTTTTAAAGGTAAAAATCAATTATTGCCACTGATCATAACAAACAGTTCTTATTGGAGTCTTATTATTATAATATCAGTTGAAGAATAATGAAATAGTGGGAAAATGTAGAACACTGTTTTTATTATCAGCGCATATATGGAGAGAAAGTTGTAGAGATTGGTCGACCAACGTAATCGATCGATTTGTATTATTTCTCTTCAAAGCATTAGAATACTGATTGCATCATTGTCTCTATTAAAGGAAGACAAATTCAATTTTTCTTGAAGAATTTTGGCGTTCATATCTTTGAAGTCTTACTTCTCTTGGTTTAAATATGAGTTTTAATAAACACAAAAATTCTTTTTTATTTTCTATCTGCTATTGTTATTATCGAATAAATTTGAACTCATGATCACAACTGATGTTTTTGTTGTTGATAATAGCTGTAATCATAATAGTAGAAAACTTCAAAAGGGTGGTTTATGACTGCGTCTATCCTTCATTCACACTGCAGAGACATGCATCGCATGCGCTGAGGTGGAGGCAACCGCTTCTCCTCTTTTTATTTGTCCACCGGATGGCCACACCTTAATTATATCAGCTGTTAAACTCTATTCCAAGAAATTTTTCAAAAAGAATGCACATCAAACGCTAAAAGGTTAAGAGAAGAGATTTAATCGTTAACAAACTCATTCTTTCTGAGATACTGTTTATGTTATTACTTTATTTCATCCTAATATCTAGATCAATATTGATCACAAATTATCATGATAACAAATTAACCTAACATAAAACTTTGTGAATTTCATTGTGACGAGCATAATATTTCCATTCATGTTAAACTTAAATTTGCGCATATTTAACGAGAAAATAAGTTAAGACGAAAACGAACATTCTATAAGTATATATATAGTGGCGCTCAAGATTGATCATACATTTAATAAATGATTTTGTTTTTCTGATATCTTAAGCGAAGTTCAAGGTATTCGGATATGATTTTCGACAAAATGTAGCCTATGCTTCATAGTTCATTTCCGCCAAGTATCAGTTCTTTCCTTCATGAACTTACTGTGGAAAATAAAAAGAATAAAAATGATGTTCTTTATTTAACTCAAAATTGATCGTACACTTCATACAAAAATCAACGTATATTACACAATAAAAATCGTGCATCTCACGATTTGGAAAAGAAAAACATATTACAAAGATGTTGTTATTGTAAAAGCCACAAAAAAATTCATCGGAACACTGCCAAAATGCTTTTTTTCTGCTCGAGATCATAAAATGCACAGTTTTTTTGATTGTGTAATATACGCTGATTTTTGTATGAAGTGTACGATCAATTTTGAGGACCATCTTTTGTGCGGTTATGTCCTCACTAATAAAATATTATTTCGCGATAGTTTCAACTTTATGTTGCTCTTCTTACATAAGCGTTCAGAAATGAAATGCTATTTATAAGAAAAATAGATCTTTATATTATAAAAATTTCTTTTCATAAATCTTTTTGTTCATATACTTGAAATTGATATTTCCATCCATTTTCTTCAAATATTTTATCATCTAGTTCTGCAAGAATTTCATCACTTGATCGTTTTATTCGTCGAAAATCACTTAAATCAAAATTTGATACTCGAGTATCACATTGAGGAACTTCTGCAAAAATTCTTGTTAAATAAATTCGTTGAACAAGTTTGGATTCTAGTGCTTGTTCATATGGTCTAACACCGCCAAACACAAAGACAGATTCAATCATAGAACTCGGTGTGTCAAGTAATTGTTTCGCTTTATGAGCGGCTTGATCAAAAGAATTTACAACATCAATATGATTTCTATCATAATCTGCATAAGTATTATAAAAGATTTCTGATAATTGCTTAGTAATAACAATCAAATGCCATTTCGAAAGATATTTTTTATCGAATTTAATAACATCTTCAAATGTAAGACGTCCAAGAATAAGTGCAACACGTTTTGACGCATCTTTTGTAGTTGTTGCATGTGTTAAATACCAGTAATAATCAGTCGGTAATAGTGCCCATGGAAGTTTTCCTTCATGTCCAATTGTATTTTTTTCATCCATTGCGACTACAATATTCATGAATGGTCTCATTTCCATCTAGAAAAAGAAAACACAAGAGAAATTTTCATACGAGTAGATTTTATTAATCCAAAGTCTAATACTTAACTAATATTAAATAATGTTTGTAAAAAAAAAAAGACATATTCACACAACTTTATTGATGATATTGTTGTTTGACATAAATCAACAACGTGTATTTTATATCGATATGATATAATGGATAAGCTAATTCAAGTAATAAGTCATATTAACTATAAGTTTGAAAAATCTAGATTATATGCATAATCAAACGAAACTATAAGTGTTTGCTTACGGCTATTGAAATCTCACCATTATATCTTGAACAGTGTTTTTATTTATGATAAGATGTACGCAAGTCAAAATTCAAATAGAATCTTTTTTTCGTCTGTTTTTTAAACATAACGAATATGATAATCTTATTGCATGAAAGCTTAGTTTTTTACGAATTAAATTGAGAAATATGGATAGTATTCTAGTTATTGTATCTAGAATTTAGTGGAAATAATTTTTCTCGACAAAGAAAAGGAAAGAAAAAACGATGTATGTTCTTATGACAAAGGGTACGATGAATTACATCAGATAAAATATTTAACTTTATCATTTACACAAAAAGAAATTAGATAGGTTTAAAAAAAACGAGCAATGAACATACGAATAGCATCGATTCTAGTCGTCACCATCAACATAGAATTTTATGATCAGACTCAATTTGAAAGTATATTTATACTCAGTTTTTAACACTGAATCTGAAAAAATTAGTCACAGAAGCAGAACAGAAGAAAGTCGCATAAATCGAAAATAATGAGGTTTTTTTTGCAAAAAATGACTTTTTTCGACTAGAAAACGCTATTGATAAAAAATAAAAGCTTGTTTTTTCTTAATCAGCAGCTCAAACTCATTCAAACCATGTGTAAAAAA